AAAAAAATTAAAAAATTACAAAAATTTTTTGATCATTATCATTTGAAGAAAGTGGAATAACTATGATATTAGATGATTACAATGATTGATTGTGACCTTTAAGATCAATCAATTGGTAGAAATGTTGAAAATGGCGAAGGTTGGAAAAATTTGATATCAAGTTGGATTGAAATGACAGATGAAGGAAATTTTGAAGAATTTGATTTTCAAAAAATTTTCCATTAAATGATCCAAATATCTTACAAAAGTCACACCCAGCAGATGATAGTAATGCTAAATGAAAAATGGAAGATTCGCTTGTAAAAGATTTGGAACCTCCTTTTTACTATGAATTTGTTGTAGGCATATTTTATATATAATAACATTTGAACCTTTTTATTATTTGAATTTTTATATCACGTGATATAATTGTATACAAGTTTTTTTTTGATAAATTTTGCCGCCGATCGACATAATGTGTAAAACAACTTTCAAAAACAAAATTTTTTGAGCGGATAGCCTAGTTAGTATAATATACTATTAACATAATAACAACAGATAATAGAAAAATATACATTCAATGAAACATTTTCTAGCTACTTGCCCATGTTATAAACAACAGCACTAAGAGCATCGAGTTTGTAACATTAATCGAGCGTTTGCTTGCATTCTTTTTATTATGAATTGTGGAAAGGTCTATTGGATTTTGATTATATTAGGATATTCAGGAATGCCTAATTTCTCGGCATCAACTGACTCATAGGATGAATAAGCGTATGCAAAGTGTTGTCACTTTTTCAATTTCAGATATACTGAATGACAGAATTTGAGATCAATATTTTCTAAAATGAGATGGTTGAGTGATTTGAGTGGGCTCTCTATTGGGGAATTTGATCATTCTTTTTGGCTTTTCAATTTTACAGTGGATGGGGATGGATGCTGTTGCAGAGGAAGGAGATACAGTTTCTATAGCAGATTTGACGATTGGTTTGCTTATTGATTTATTAAAAGATTCTGTGACAGGTTTCCAATCACCAATCATTATTATTATTATCAAGATAATAAGCAAAGTGTAAATGATTAATTTTACCTCATCTTTATTACTAGGTCAAGTTTATCAATAATAGTTTTAACTCCAGGATTTTAGAGAGTCATGTGATGAATATTTCTTCGAAACAGATGCTGCTCACCATTATAAATGATACGATTTGAGAATATAAGCCGCCATTTTCAAAATGTTAACGCATTTGTATTCATAACTGTCAAGTTTTTTTCAACTGTATTAAAGTCCATCGGTATTTTACAATACCAAGATAATCAAAATATTAAACTTGATTGATCTACAGGTTCTAGGAGACGAATGACGTTTTATTAAACTAATCGAGCATGAAATATTAAATAAACATTGTGTAATGATGATTTTTGAATTTAGAATATAATAAATAAAATGATGACGCAGGTAATGTATACGTGTGATATATGTATATTGAATCATAAATTAATTGATAATTTTAAAAATAACCAATGATGTTTGGTGAATCCATTTCAAATGAATATTATACTTTGCATATTATTATTGGAGATTTTGGCGTTGAAGAAAGAATTATTTACTTGATTAGAAGAATAAATTTGTGTAACTTCTGACGTAATTATTGAAAAACTCCTAAAAAATTTTTTTTTGAATTCCTTCAAAAATATCCACACGGTACAAATATACATATTATACATATATATATATATATACAATATTTATTTGATTATTTGGAACTTATAATAGTAATAATAAATATAATAATAATAATGGGTGTTGTGATCTCTCGTTTCACTTCACAAAAGAATGATAATTATGAAAAAATATTATCGGAACTTGATGATAATATTCGTAAAGCAGAAATATGCCTAGGTGAAATAAAAATACGAGAACGTAATGCATTAATAATCTGGATAGTGTATTCATTATTAGCATATATCGCATATGTAGTAGGATATTGGTATTTTATCTATATGTCTAACGAGGGAGAAAATTGGGATTTCATGAAGGTGGCGCCTGTTTTAACAGGACCTTTTTTCATAGTAATTGGTTATAGATTCATTGCTTTATGGTATAAAAGAGAAGAAACAAATGAAATATCTCAACTTGAACAACTAAGAGCCAAACAAAGCCTTAAAGTAGAAGAATTAAAAAAGAAAACTGGTTATTATACAACTAAAACTTTGTTGGAAAGATACGATTCAACAACCAAACTTCCAGCAAATCTTCCCGGTCAAAAAAATCTACCATTAACAACAGCACCTGGTAATTTAAAACTTGGGCCAAATTCTTTACGTCAACGCTTACCACCACCAAACAACAACAACAACAGTGGAGTTAATAATAATAATGGAAATATTGACCAACAATTATCTAGATCATTATCATCATCGTCAATAAATCAAATTAATAATATACAAAATCAGCAGCGTCATTGGTATGATAAACTAGTTGATGTAGTTGTTGGTGATGATGAGCAAAAATATGCTTTGATTTGTAAGGATTGCTATACTTGGAATGGTTTGACTTTTGCAGCTGATTATGATGATATTCAATATTATTGTAAAAATTGTAATCATTTCAATCCATCAAAAAGATCTTTAAGAAATAATGCTGTTTCAGCACCAGCACCATTAAATCAGTCACTATCTACAAGCAATACCAGTAATAATAATGGTGATGATAATAATAATTTATTATCACCATCAAATGGTAATCTTGATGCCTCAATTGATTATTTATCACCAAGAAGAGGTCGATCTACAACACCAAAACCAACAAGTAGAGATTCATCATCAGGTCCGGAAAAATCAAAAGAAAAACATGATAATCATGATGACGATGGTGATGTTGCTGTTAATAAAAGATTGACATCAAGATCTAGAAGTAAAGGTAGTCATCATGGTGATGGTACTGAGGGTGATGACAATAATGAAGATAATGTTAAAGATGAAGTTTGATGATAATAATATTCAAGAAAATTTGCTCAATTTCAAAATCATGTGAAAATTCATATGATTATGACTATATATATACTTCCTTTCTATATTTTCTCACCTCAAACAATTTTATTTAAATTTAAATTTATTATTTATTAATGAACAATTTGAATTGAAAAAAAAATTAGCAGTATATATATATATATATATTAGTTGACATTAATAAATGAGTGATCGATCAAGAATCTGATATTATCTTTTCTCTTGTTAATAATAATTTGTTTAAAGAATCGATTCTTTGATTAATTTCTTTATTCGCTCATTTCTTTTATCGATTTAAAGGGGGAGTAACATTTGTATAATTACATTCATTCAATTACTGCTATAAATAAAAATTACCAATTGAATAATTTAATAATGCAAAACATTCAATTGTACAATTCATTCTTTCTATAATGGGATGCACAATTTTTTAGCATAATAATAGTAACTATCGGTCTTGTGACATATCGTGCAGATCAGGAATGATTTCTGGCTTGAGCAAAAATAGCAAACTTGAAAATTATAACAGAAACGTTATAATTGAACGAGGAAGAAAATGACGTCGTATAAAAAAATAGCTGAAAATATCGATGTAGCTGAAAGAATTATCAAATAACGAAATTTAGAAGAAAAGCTATCGTTGGATCCTTTTAAGCCAGCCCCGCATATTATCCACGCAAACAGAGACTTGAACGGTTTTCTTTTGTTAGGATGATTAAAAAATTGGACAAGTGAATTGTTTTTAGTGATGAATTTTTTATGCATTCTCATTATTCGTAATAAATCCAATCTTAATATTAATTCGAGTTATTTTATTTTATTCGAATTATTCGTTTTATTCGAATTATTCGCTTTATTCGAATTACTCATTTTATTCGTTTATAAAATACAAAATGTTAATTCACAGCTTGATGCAACAAATTCTATATTGTTGTTATTGTTAATGGATTTTAACTAGGTCATATTTCCTTTAACAAAATAATATAAATTACAATAATTATAATTATAATCTATATTACCACTATGATGATTATTAGTACTCTGACTAAGAAAGAAAAAAAAATGTCAATTACTATTTAGGACTACTAAGGAAAAATAGATTGGTAAAGAAAAAATATTTTAATTGGATCGGATTAGGTTTATTCCATTACATTACTGCAAACTCTGCATACCTTTAATGAATATGTTTTTGGAAAGGATATTTACACTTTGAGCAAATCTGCAAATATAAAGGCAAGTGAGACATATTGCATTAAAAACAGATACACTGCCTGGAAGAAAGTATCGGGACACACATTTTTAATAATTATGCAAAATTTTACATAACAATAAATTATAAAAATAATATCATTTTGTGGCTTAAGTCTTTGAGAATATGCTTATAAAATGTCATGTTTCTAGCCTTCATTTATATTTTTTAATTTTAAAAATACAAACTTCAATTAAAATCACAATGATCAACCTTGTATATTTTTTAATTTTACAATTTCTTAAAATTTTTCATATTAAAATTAAAAGAAATTTATATCAATATGTAGCTTAGGTTCTCAAGAATACTTATTTGAAATTTCATGACTTTACCATGGTTAGATATATTGTTATTTAAAATAAAGGATCTGTGCTAACATTGATGGATTAAAATTTTTTTGATCTAATTTTTTAAAAATGTCTAAAAATTCAGAATTGACTGAAACTGAACGAGGAAAAATATTAGGTCTTAGAATAGGTGGTAGTAGTATTAGAAAGATTTCAAAAATACTTAAAATTTCAAAATCTACTGTTCACAAAAATATTCAACGTTATGAGA